AAAAAAAAAAAACGACCGCTCTTCCTCCCCTCTTGACCTCAAAAGTGTGCGTCGATAAGCTTAGTACAGGTCACAAGTTCGTCCTCAGATACTCAGCGGGGAAAGGATTATAATTTATCATATTAGTCATTTATATTGTCTAAAGACATTTTTATATCTGACTGAACAGTAAGTGGAACCTCCGTTAACGGACTTCGTGACCAAAGATCTTGACATTGGTTTGTTTTGTTTCTTAAATTAAATCGGAGATATAAATAAGTCTTCACATAAGCAGGGCATGCTGCTTCCAACACACGTTTTTCTAAGTATAGATCTAGGTCTGTAATCTTATGATTCATCCTGTAATCGATAGTGTTGCCCAATGTGTTTGAGAATAAAGGTGAGTTGCGTATAAAAGACTCGCGCGGTTCTCGACGGTATCAGACCGGAAAATCGTATCGTCGAGAGGTGTGAGAACACTAAGATGATATTATAGATAATTATACCGTCTATTTTCTTCTTGGTGATACATGTATCGGGTTATTAAAGACTGGACTCAGTATTGCAGGTACGGTACGGCACGCGTAATTCTGGTTATCTTTAGTTTTAGCCATAGGAAGAGTTTCACGGTTCTTGCAACACAAATAGGTAGGTCATATCTCGTAAGTGCCGAAGATTACAGGTGTTACATGAAAATAACATACAAAGAAAAGAAAGAAGAGAGATAAAGACGATAGGCTAGATCGTTGATAGGAAAGAAGGAGTGTGTGTGTGTGTGTGTGTGTGTGTGTGTGTGTGTGTGTGTGTGTGTGTGTGTGTTTAGTGTGTGTGTTTAGTGTGTTTGTGTACTCGGTGTGTGTGTCTGTGTGTGTGTGTCTGTGTGTGTGTGTGTGTTTGTATGTGTCTGTGTGTGTTTGCATGTCTGTGTGTGTGTTTGTGTGTGTACATATGTATGAATGTTGATACGGTCAAGTGAAAAGCAAGCTAAGTCATATCAACCGTACCACCACAACTTAGCTTAATAATTATTTTTTGACTTTTTAATGAAGAACTTGGCTTGTTCTTAACTTGATCTGGGGTTTTGTTTTCTTTTTCTTTTTCTTTTCTTAAAGAGAAAAATACAGTTTGTGAATGCAATAGTTGGTTTTCACTGTATTGATTTGATAGGAATATTCTACAAGTACTCTTGTAAGTTATCTTAAACTTTATTTTTTAAATGATTCTATTTCACTTAAGAAATAATATTCTCCTCTGCGGATGTATTGGTTATTGTCAGATATTGAAGGATGAGCCATTATTATTATTATTATGTTGTTGTTGAAAGTTAAAGGCTAGCACCTTGGTGTTTTCAACAACAAAAAAGAAATAAAGAGGAGAAAGAAAATGAAAAGACGTATCTTGTTATTAAGAGCTAGTACTCTGACTTTTTCTTTAAGAAATAGACTTACCTTGTTATAAAGAGATAGTACCCAAGACTTTGCTTGCACTCTGATTTTTTTTTTTTCTTCTGAAAATAGACTTACCCTGTTTTTCACTCGAGCACTCCTATTCTCTTGTGCTTGCAGTAGGCGACCTCGTCCAAGATCTACCGGACTCTGACTGACGTCATGGAGAAACCAACGCTTCCCCACACAGAGATCCAGGTCGGTGCCAGCAGCAGAACGACAAAGTCCAGTCGTGGAGAGGGTCCGTTGTGCGCTGTGGCCTGGCTGGTCAGTCTGCTGACCTCTCTGTCGTGTGTGTCCAGGACCGTGAGCCTGGCCTCGTTAGTGAGCGACTCGCACGTCAGTTTGATTCCTCTGTGGGTGTGGCAGCTTCTCTTGTATGTGCTGGTCGCTGTTACTGGTAAGTTGTTGGGGAATCGTTGTGGTGGTGGTGGTGGTGATGATGATGATGATGATGATGATGGTGATGATGGGAGTGTTGTTAATAGTTGTGTTTTT